ACATACGTCTGATACGAGTAATCTGTTTGTGGAGGGCATCAACCTTCTCGGCAGCAGCTTGTGCCTCTTGGTCCCCTGACTTGACCAAGTTGACGACTGCAGCTGATAAGGCTTCCATATCCGCATTCTTGTCCTGGAAAACAAACAGGAGAGTATGAAATGAAATGAAATGAAATGAAACGAAATAATCATACTTTTCAATACCTGCATCAAAAATTGCTCAGAAATGATGAAGTTTTCCTTATAGAATTCCCTGACAGAATTTTGGACAGCTTTCAAATTTTGACAACACTTTGCCTTGGCCTGAATTCAAATGTATAGGCCTATACAATACCTGCATGAAGTTTTCCTTATAGAATTCCCTGACAGAATTTTGGACAGCTTTCAAATTTTGACAACACTTTGCCTTGGCCTGAATTCAAATGTATAGGCCTATACAATACCTGCATGAAGTTTTCCTTATAGAATTCCCTGACAGAATTTTGGACAGCTTTCAAATTTTGACAACACTTTGCCTTGGCCTGAATTCAAATGTATAGGCCTATACAATACCTGCATGAAGTTTTCCTTATAGAATTCCCTGACAGAATTTTGGACAGCTTTCAAATTTTGACAACACTTTGCCTTGGCCTGAATTCAAATGTATAGGCCTATACAATACCTGCATGAAGTTTTCCTTATAGAATTCCCTGACAGAATTTTGGACAGCTTTCAAATTTTGACAACACTTTGCCTTGGCCTGAATTCAAATGTATAGGCCTATACAATACCTGCATGAAAAACTGCTCAGAAATGTTTAAAAAAAAAGATGTCTTACTCTGATGTCTTCATCTATTTGTTCGTGGATTTCAAGAAAATCCTTGGCACTGTTCAGGTCGTTTCCCATGTTGCCATGACGTTTTAACGTAGCCATACAAATCTGTGTTAACCAGGTTTGAAGCTGTAAAAATTAAAATCAGATATTTTATCATCAATATGCAACGAGGTTTATTTCTTGCTTGTGAAATTAAAAATTCTGTCCATATTTCTGCCACGTACGACCAAAAAACTGATTATCATGAATTACAGAATCTAATAAGCAGGGTGCCATCTTCCAAAACTGTTGAAAAAGGATCGAATTAATATATGAACTATAAACTGAAACTTACGCTGTTTCTCTTGTGACCCCAACACCCTGCCCTCTCCCTAGCAGTGGTGGAGCCAGATTTACGTCAGAGGTGGGTCTGGGGGCGAGATATCTGAGATTGTGCGAATCTTTAACCTAGTTTTTTGCATTAAAACTTGCTTTCGGGGCTGCAAGGAGGGCGGCTGCCCCCTCTTCTGCCCCCCCCCCTCTAGACCTCATTACAAATAGATAAATAAACTTGCGCTGTAACTATTGTGACCCCAACACCCTGCCCTGACCTCCCCTCTCCCTAAGCCTCATCAAAAATAGCTGAATAAACTTACACTGTTGTATTTCTCCTGGAACTGTAAATAAGTCTGACTACGTTCCCACGCCTGCGCCCTTCTTGCCTTACACAGTGACTCAAGGTGGGCACAACGAACTTGAAGCTCATCCATCTGAAATGTCAATGTATAATTTAGAAACATGCAGGGCAAAAATTATTCCACATATTTGTACTCATCACCTCTAGAATGTTAAAATATGGGCACCAGCTGAAAGAGATCAGTTGTCTGAAGATCCCACAGAGTGAAAACAGTAACAACAAATTCCAATTCTGTTTGAATATTTCTGAATAACACGTTGTTTTGAGTTCTGTTTTAATGAGGAATAGTCTTGTTGTTATTTCATGGATCAGATATATAAAGAGTGAGTGTCAAGATCAAGGCAAGGGTAATTGCTTCCTGATGATGGTAGCTTAATAATGAGTCATAAGTACTGGCCATTGGACTACAATATTTCTCAGTGCCAACAATGTGATACCACAGCAAAGCTTGGGTTGAAATTTTCATTGTCCGGCCAAACACCATAGTTTCAATATAGATATAAAAATATAGCCTTTAATAGGCAACACCATTGTTAATGTCTTCTTCAAATTTATATCTTTATAGCCTATTGGTGATAAATATTGTAAGAAATTTTAAGTAAAAACACCATTTAAGGTTACATTTAAAAAAACTCACCTTTTGTCTGACGTCATCGGCTCCAGAGTCTCCCCTATTGACCCTCTCCAATAGGAGTCGACCCTCGCGTAGAGCCGGCGTAGAACATTCTACAATGGCGTTAGACAATTGGGCATGTCGCTCAGCAAGTTCGGTGCTATTTCTTGGCAAGTCCGTGCTGTTAAGTTGGACTTCTATCTGTTCCAGTTTTGTTAGAGCCTGGAAGGATAAACAGAAGTATTAAATAAAACATTTTGATATGCATATACTTCATGTTCAAGATATTTTTACTTTATGTTCAAGATATTTTTACTTTATGTTCAAGATATTTTTACTTTATGTTCAAGATATTTTTACTTTATGTTCAAGATATTTTTACTTTATATTCAAGATATTTTTACCTTAAGTTCAAGATATTTTTACCTTAAGTTCAAGATATTTTTGTATAAAGTTCAAGGAATATTTTTGAAAAATGAAATCTGATCTCACCGTTTCTTGTAAATTAAAGAAGGAGACAGACATTGTGATGTTTCTCCTTCTGTTGTCAAGTTGGTTCATGAAGTTCTCACATTCGTTATCGACCGTTAGCAACCGCTGTCTCACACCCTCCGCATCAAGGTTTGTCCGACGCAGAAGTTGGTCAGCTGTACGAATAAGTTGCAATACAGTCTCTTGGATGTCCTGAAAAACAAATACAAGATGAGAAGATTAACAGACATAAGCAGAAATTTGAATTGAAATGAAATGCATGGAGTTTTACGTCCTACTTTTCTTGTTGGCTAATGAAGACGGGCAACGCCATGCAGGGTGCAATGAGGGAAATTTTGCCAGGACAGCGGCATTTGCCTGCTCTTTTTCGATTTCCAACTGTCGAGGGATCTTTAACGTGCACAGCCTGTAGCACACAGGTGCTCAGTTTATTGTCCCATCACTGACAGGGGAACCCGGGTTGAAAAATCCGAAGGTATTATCTCGACCTATGCGGGGATTGAAAGCAGAAATTTGAATTGAGCAATAGAATAGATGCAAAAAATAAAAAATAAAACAATCAATTTTTGACGTGATGGTTTGGAACAAAGTCCCGTATTTAATTTCCAACTGAGTATGAACCAGTATCTGATTCACATGAAAATAAAAGAAAAAACTTACTCTTGCTTGGGTCTCAAATTTATTATGTTCTTCTTGTAATCTCAAAGCTGCCGAATACGAGTTCCCGAGTTGTGATCGATTTAAATATTCGGCTCCAGTTGTTCGGAACCATTCCAATATCTATAACAACAAAAACATCAATATTTATATAGATATATCA